GCAACGGAGTCATTTCCATTACAATCCCTGCAACAGGCTTCTAGAAGGTGATTAATGGTTGACCTCTGGGGGCTGGGAACCTTCTGAAGAAGTGTTTGGGGAGGGAGGCATGGCTAGGCTGATGCTAGGGTGGGTGGGACCAGCCACTTCTTCCTGGTTATGGAGGTAAAGGTCCTAGATGGGGATTCAGAGCAGAAACTGCCCATTCTCTGGTCTCTCACATCCTAAAGCCTGGCCAGAAAGCATTTGCGGTGTGGGAAATATTCTCCAGCCTTGAACTGGGCTGCCAAAATCAGAGAAACAAAAACAAGAGTAGCCATAGGGGCAAACAACAGGCTGTAAATTGGCTTATTCTTAGAGGGCACCCACTCAGCAAGGGGAAAGGTACCAAAGAGAATTGGGAGTGGCAACAAGATTGTAGCACAAAGTGGGGGCATCCCATCTCCTTGGTGGTGGGGGGCAAAGAAAAGCATTTTCTACACACTCTAGTAAAGAAGATGGAGAAGGAAAAGCCAACCACCAGTCAAGATTGTAGGCCACATTTACAACTTCCAAGGGCAGGTGACTTGAGAAGGCTTTGAGGTCTCTCTTACTCTTACCTACCTGCAATGAGTGTGGGCTGACTACCTGCCAAGTGGGGTGGCCTGAGTTCTGTACCCTGATCTATGGTGTCTGTTATAAAGCCATTTTCTCCTCTTTCATTGACATTTTTTTCTCTCTCTGCTAACAGCTGGATGGTTCTGACTGCCTAGTCATTGTTTTGTTTTGCCCCTTGTCACTGATGGTGAGTCACTCTCTGCCTGGAGCTTGGCTGGGCATTTTCTGTGGTGCCATAAGATTCCTAAGAGCTGGATTGGGTCTGGTTCGTCCTTTTCTCTGTGATGGCATAGCTCTGAGGTCTAGACAGAAGAACTGAGAGAAGGAGAGAAGGGGCCTCACTGCTCTGGGGTCTGAGTTCACTATTCAGAAGTGAGGAAATTCAGCTCAGAGGCTGGAAATCTTATCTTCTATGAACCGGTTAGAGGAGCAATAGGGTCCACTGAGGCCAAACTGGTTAAGACAATAGCATCTCCAGCCTGAGTGGAGACCTAGCATTCCAGTTGGGCCAGTTGGCCTATTACCTGGCCAATAGACCATCCCTGAGCAGTCAGACTAACTTTCAGTCCTGCTAAAGAGGTGGGTAGAATACTTAGTCCTTTAATGAGATAATGCATTTTCCCATAAGTAGAATCTAAATATAATCTATGAGCACTAGCTCTGTTCACATTGTACTGTATGCTGATCCGTGTGTAAAAGGTCAAAGCTTGGCAGCAGCAACGGAGAAAAATGCTAACACACACACACACACACACACACACACACACACACACACACACACACACAGGAGCACGTTCAACAAAATGATCTAAAATGCATATTAGGTCTCTACAAAAGGTTCCCACCGGCCTCTCGAGAAATAGTACAAGGCAGGTAAGTTTTGCTTCATCCAGTGGTTTCCTCCCCTTGTTAAAACTGTTCACTCTACTTCCTCATTCTCAACCATCCCCCCTTACCTTCTAGATCATTATCAAGAAAGCTAAACTCTTCTGCATCTGTGACTCTTTCTACATCCACACCCTATACTGACTGACTGCAGCAGAGCAATATGGGCCTTGCATGTTTGGGATCTGCTTTTCTTGGAAATTGTGGTTGTAGAAATAGCCGTGCCTCTTTTTTTTTTTTTTTCGAAAATAAGCACAAAATTCCTATTTGGCACGGCCATTACAAGTAAGAGAGGAGAGTGTATGCTGTGGTTTCCCCCACCCCAGGAGACGGGCAGAAAGAACCCTGCCTGGAGCTGCCATCGGTGTATTATCTATGTGTGAGTTCCACCCTTTGCGGATTACATGTGGCCTGGTTTTCATCTCAGTTTGACTTTCCCTGCCACTTAGTGTGTGCCTGGCCTTCTTCCCTGTCAGGCAGTATGTCTTCAGGGAATATAAATTAATATTAATATTAGCCTAAGTAACAAATGGTTGGGAAGGTAACGACGTAGAACACAACTGAGTGGAATGATTTCCAAACCACCCACGGGAAAAGAACTCTCTTCCATCCATCCTGGAGAAGGGGAATGCCCTGCCTTTAGCCGAGGATGCCCCTCTAAAAAACCAGCACCATGAATAGCAAGGCCTGGGGAAGCAGTCTAGTATAGCCAGCTTGAGCTCCCTGCCCCTCCTCTCCCTCTTTCAGTCTTTCTCCCAGGATGCTCTAGCAGCTTCTCCCCTGCCCCCTGTCCCCCACTGTGTCAGCCCCTACCTGTTCAGCATCTCTGTCCCCAGGGCCCTGTTCTCAGTTAGGAAGCTGATAAACTGCACTCCGGTGATAATGGATGGTAATAAGTTAATGTGCTACCCCTCCTGGTAGCATTTGCATTCTGACAGGGTCTTTCTGAAGAAAAATCGTTCTTAACAACAAAATGACTGGGCTTGGGAGCATTCCAACACCTGCGTCTAGCATGTCTAAGGAAATATATTTGTGACAAGAGGCGTTTTGATTCCTCATTCCTTGCTGTGCCTTTTTCCCAGACAGAGACCAATAAGAAGAATTTTCTGGGGTTGGCATGGGGGTTACTGAACCAAGGCCTGGTACAGAAAAGTAACCTCCACCTCCGATGCAATGAAAAGATACCCCTGGAGAGACAAAGTCTCAGAAATAGAAGGGGTGGGGGTAGAGTGAGGAAAACCCCAGTAGAATAGAGCTGACATATCTGGGCTATGCATGTATCTGCCTCTGCATTGGGAGGCTGGCACAGCCTTCACAGCCAACATGCCTCTGGGGTACAGTCACATTAGAAAGGCTGCTTCCATGGGGCTGACTGCCAGGCATGAGGAGTGGGAGGGCAGTGGTTGAGACACAGAGACATGCTCCAGAACGGCTGGACTGGCCAGGAACCCATAGAACCCACTTGATAGTGGGCCCCTCTCTGATCTGCACCACTCTCCCAGTGGTCACAGGTGCTCCACAGAGCTGGCAGGTATGGCCAGGCCACAATACAGGGTCACTAGGACCAGCTATCCACAGCTCTCTCAAGCAGGCCACCCTGCATTCTATGTCAAGGCTAAAGAAACAAGGCCTTCATGTATAGATACTCCATCTTAGCTCAGAGCCGTTGGCATCCTCTTCCTGCTCTTTGTAGGCCAGATGGTCCTGTGGTTCTCTTCTTTATCAACATAACCTATTATGGAGGAGCCTGCCTCACTTCTCTTCATCGTTCTGCCTTTCACTCTTAAAGAGAATTTGTTATCCTGGAGCTCAGACACAACGGTACCTAGCCCCAGCCTCCTTGTCTCCTACCTTATAGGTCCCTTTACAGAGAATTCAGAGCAAGCCATTGCCTACTGCCAAGCGGACCCTGCCGCCATGAACTCAACATGGAACATAGGACTAGATACATCTCAAACACTGCTTCTATAAAGTTACTGTGAGTGCTGTCAAGCTGATCATGTGGGCAGGGACTTCAGGGTACTAGTCCATCACATAGGAAGCAGAACCTGAGAGATGTGGGCCAAAGGATGCAAGATTTTAGTGAGATAAGAAAAGTTCAAAAATCTATTGTGCAACACAGTGACTATTGTTAGTAAGGATTATTGCAACTTGAAATAAATAATATTAAGAGTTCTTAATAGATAATAGAATATGCTATGTGTTCTCACACTGCTATGGTTTGCACATTGGTTGATCCTTGTGCTAGGATTCCAGTCCTCTGTGTGGTGGTATTGGGAGGGAGTATGGGTCTTTAAGAGGTGGGACCTAGTGGGAGTATTGCAGTATTGACAAGTGTGATGCTCTCTGAATAGATGAATGCAGTTCTTATGGACCCTGAGTTCTCTCTAGAAAGAGTTGTGAAAGAGAGCTTGACCCATATTGGCTCCATGGCTTCCTTTCTGGTTATGTGAGCTCTCCTTCTAGAATACAATCTTCTACAATGCCATCTGCCATTAGACCCTCATCAGAGCCTAAACCCTGATTTGGATTTTTGTTTTTTAAAATGATAAGCTTAATAAACCATATATATCAAACTATCTATCTATCTATCTATATATGTAACTTGCTTCAGGCATTTTGATAATTTTAATATACTAGTGAAAAATAGTCTAACAAACACTACAAAAATGATAACTATGAAATAATGTATATGCTAAACCATTGGCTCAGCCACCCCACAGCACACATAGACAGGAAATGATCATCTTGTATGACATAAATGCTCTTATAACTGTAAGATATAATAAAGTATGCCCACCAAGGGTTCACATGTTAAAAGTTTGGTTCCCAGCTGGTGGTGCTGGTGCAAGGTGATTGGATCATCGTCGGTAGATCATCCATCAGAGAGCTCAGAGCTGATTGGGTTAGCTGGAAGAGGTGGGTCTCTGAGGGCTTGTCTTTGAAGGGTATGTCTGGTCCCCTGATCCTTTTGAATTTTGCATCCTGAGCACCATGAAAAGAGCTGCTGTGTCTCAGCACAGGCTCACAGGCAACAGAATCATGTGACCATGAGCTAAAACCTCCATCCATACCCATGAGCCAACAAACAAACAAACAAACAAGCCCTTTTTTGTCATGAATCCCCCTAACATAAGTATATACAATTTTGTCAATTGAACAATAAAATAATAATAATGGTCCAGGTGGCCTTTGAGGTGGAATTGACACTAATGACAATTATAGGCAAGTGAGCTGCAGCTCGGTCAGAAGAAGATCCAAACAGGCAGCACTCTCTAAAAATAGCAGGCTATCTTGGGAGCTCATGAGATCATGATCCCTTGGGTGTTCAAGCAGAGGCTCAAAGATGTCTATAAGAAAGAGACACCAGCAATCAAGCACTCAAAGATGGCTGGCTGAGTCGACTTCTAATGGTTGTTTAAAGAACTGTGTTTGTAAAAGGCTTCTGATTGGATAGACAAATATTGATTGGGCATCGTTACCTCACTTAGAATCACCACATCAGGTTGGGAGGGACGGAAAGGTAAATTAACATTTATTGAAAATCCATTATACACTGGACACATTATCTTCAATCTTCACAGTGTATGAGGGAGGCTTTTTTTTTTAATTCCTGTTTTACAGTGAGAAAACCAATTTCAAAGATGCTAAGAACCTTGCTCAAAGTCATATTGTGTTATCAGGTAGTAATTCTATAGTGGAGTCCAAGACTGTTGGTATCTACAGGCACCAATGCCCTGCTTCTCTTGAATGCCCTAACTCCATCTTTCCTCTGGCTGCCCTCCTACAGGTCCTCTTTTCCTCTTTGCCTCCGTGGAGAATGGACGTCTGAAGTAAGCCTGATGGACCAGCCAGAATCTGTCACTAAGGCAGACTAACCATTCAGAAAGATTCCTGTGTGATAGTGCCAGACACCAGCCAACTAAGGTGGCTCCCACAAGAAATCAAGTAAGCAGAGAGTGTCTTAGCCCAGGCAAGTGGGATCTCCAATGGAGTGTTTGAAGAGCCTGTGCCCTTTCCCATGTTGTTGCTGCAGTGTGACATGTCGGGAAAGCTGCCACTTTGGTGGCTTACAGGCAAATTGCAGTATTGTTTGCAGTAGTCCCAGAATCCTCCAGGGAAATTAGAGACCCAGACATGTAACTGCTTCTCTGGCAAAGAAGCATCAGCCTAGGCAGTGATGTGGGGCTTTGGCTGGTTCTTGGATTATGACCAGTTCAGTCATTGATGCGTGAGGAACAAGATGCCAACGTGTGTGCCACCAGCCTGGTCCATAGTGCCTTAGGCCATTGCCGGTATAATAACAACAGCTCTGTGTAGGCAGCAGTGCTCCTTCCTAGAATTCAAGCATCACCTTTAGTGTAGTATTACTCTCTCTGTACCTCCTTCAGCCTCCCGAGGAAACTGAGGCAAACCACAGCTGGAAAAACAAAACAAAACTGGAGAGTTAGCTCCCAAGTCCAAAGGAAGTTGATAAATTGATGCTTATAGATCTCTTTGCACCCTGTCCCATACAATGGAAACTCAAGTTGATAATCCAAGTGGCCAGCCATTCCCAGATGTCTAGAGAAGCAGAGAAATGTTGCAGGGGTGGAACAGAGTAGAGGTAGAAAAGTCTGCAGACCCTCACTGCCCTTATGCCTGTGCCCAGAATAAGACTTGGCTTCTCGGACCCCAATTCCTTTTGCTTGTATGTCAAGGTCCAACAAGACCTTCATTGTGACTGTAGGAGTTACTCTGAGGCTGTGCTTCCTCTTCCGCCTCCCTGAACATGCAACCGAAATTCTCAGCTCCTTCTTAGCTCTTTCTCTGCAGTACATCTGAATGAGTCTGTATGCCTCCCGTGTGTTCCACCTGACCTCACCTCTCTATGATTTGTCTTCATGAAGATGAAGCCTCTGATATCCCAATGAAGTGAGCACCCAACCTGAATCCTGAATGAGAGATTCATTTTCGCAGGTGCTCGGAAATCAAAAGAAACTCTTGGACCTAGTGAGTGTCAGTCAGAAGCATGGGACCAGACAGAGACTAAGGGCAACAGCCTGGCAGGGAAGGTGATGTGAGCAGCTAAAGAAAGACACTGGTAGCAGGTAGCACTTCATTTGCATTAGGGCTGTCCCTCCTCCTCCTTTCAAGGATCCTGGTATGGGCCTCTTACCTGATGCACAAACCAATGCTAGAGGTAGTTTCCAAGTGAAATTCTATCCAGTGGGCAGGAAATGTGCTCATTCATTTTCTCAGTTAGTCAGCCCAAGTTTCTCTGTGTATTTCCACCCACTGAGGATGAGGCAGGCAGGAGGGGTGGGCAAGCAGGTTAGAAGTATGGGGCACGAATTCATAATCAGGATTTACTAGATCCTCTTAGAGGGAGTCAGTGCTTGTGGGGCAATGAGATTATTTACAGAGTTCTGAGCAACAGCCATGGCTGATGAAAAATAGAAGCAACAGAAGGGTGTAGGGGCTGGAGACAGCCCCTAGAGACTTAGCTTTTCTTGGAGCCTTCAGAAAAATAATTTTTAGACCACAGCATAACTCACAACACACCTTTCAAGAATTATTAGAACACAGGATAGTTCTTAATATTAAATATTAACGCTTGAGTTAATGGTTTAAAGATTATAAGGAAAGGATTTTGTTGCTTTTTGTTGTTGCTGTCCTCTTTGTTTTGATTTTTTTTTTGCCACAGGTAAAGATTATTCCTTCCTTTTTCATGTAAATATCAAGAGTTTGCAAGAAACTTAAATTACCTCAAAAAATAATGGGTAGGGGGAAGCTGCATATTGTGTACTGTCTTCATCTGTAATTCTAGCACTCAGTCTCCTGAGACAGGAGGATGATATGCTGCAGGGTATCCCAGGCTACATAGCAAGACCTTGTCCAAACAACTACCAAGAGTACTAAAGAACAGATGTCACAGTCCCAAGTCCTGAAGGAGGCCCTGGCTCTTCTTATGGAATGGGTGGAAGTGGGCATCAGAGGTTCACTCTCAGGTAGTCTTCAAGAATGTTCTCTGAACCCCAAATGGCTCCATCGGGCCAACAGTGGGAACTCCAAGGAGCTGATCAACTCTGTACTTGACCCCTCCTTCTCCTTGTCCAGGTGCTTAGTCACGGACTCACACACTGTTTGCAGGACACACCCTCTAGCAGCTCCAAACTGGGTGAAGTAGGGATTGAGGAGAGGTGTGCACTCTGCTATTTCCAGCTAAGGGCTAGAGTCTGGGAGCCACAGGCATCCATAATTCATCTACTTATATGCTATAGTGTATTTCCCCTTTTGTCACATTTCTGGCCAATTGATTTCTCTTGGCCACAAACTTACTGCTTTTAGAACAAATTGACTCTGTTCAAATCTACCCTGGGGGAGGTGGACAATGGTTGGGAGAGACTCCTGGCTTTGTTTCCCACGAGAAAGGGGCCTCTGAGGAGTCACAGCAGGAAAAAGTTATGCATAGGAGCTGGAAAACTCTAATCCTGGACTTTGATGGTAGAGTGACTTAGAAACCAAGGGATGACATGCTGCCCTGTGCCTTCTAAGTCTACCATCAGAGCCCTCTGACAGAGTTACACGGGAAGAGAGAAAGGAACATAATAGATGCCATGTTGGGGCGCAAGAATGAAAACACACAATTGGAATGCTCTTTAACATCCTCTGTCCTCCACATCCCCAGTTCTATGTCACCCTCCCTAAAGGCCTGTCTCTGCAGGACTTCAATGTCTGAGTCCCAAATTCCCATGGGCTAGCACTCTGGGATTAACTAAGGAGGTAGGAACCCCCATTGCCTGGAGCCTCTGCCAAAGTCTCTGAATATCTCATCAGGAAAGATAGAAAGTCACCCAGGTCAGGTGACTCAGAGCAGTGAACTGGACCCAGGTGTCTTTGTTGCTGGGCCCTTTCCTTGAATCCCTCATATAGCATTTCCTCCTAATTCTACAGGCAGGTACCTGGGCCCCCACCATCTCTCGATGCCTCTTTTTCTACAGTTCCCAGCCACTATCCTTAGGAGGTACTCGCAAGAGAATTGTTGGATGAGTAAACAAACGAAGAAACAGTCTGGCAAATCATACACAGTGAGGGAAGTTTATCTCAGGACTCTAGATACATAAGAGGCTCAAGGAATGGGGATCTCTAATGGTGGGGTTTTGGAGAATAACTTAATAAGCTATGTGGATTCTCAAGTCCAATTCGTAGAGCCTACCACACATGCACAAGGCATTTTCAGGTGGTGTAAAGTCCCCTCTGTTACTGCACTTGGGAGGGCATCTGTCTCTTTGTGATAGTGTTCAGAGAGACCAGAAGAAACTCCTGCCCCACACAAGCCTTCTGTCAAAGGAAAGGAAGCCAGGCTCTGACAATGTGTGTGTGTGTGTGTGTGTGTGTGTGTGTGTGTGTGTGTGTGTGTGTGTGTGTGTGTGTGTGTGTGTCTGTGTGTGTGTGTGTGTGTGTCTGTGTGTGTTTTCCTTCTCTCCAGAAAGCCATTCTACCCAATCACTAAGCCAGCCCACCCCCAGCTCCCTAGTGAGATGCTTCCCTGAGCATACCTGGTACAGGGAGGCTGTGATCCTCGGAGTGAATGGTCTAACATTTCTGCTTTTATCACCAGCATGGTGAGCACTAATGCCAGCCAGGATCAGGGCCTCTCAGAGAGCTATGCTTTGTGGAGCCTACCAGAGGCCGTCCTGTTCCCTTAAAGCCTGGTGGTTTATATCCCTGGACATCTCCTGTTGGCCTGATATTGATTTGGCTTTGAAGAAAACAAAAAGTCAGTAAGAAAAATACACACCACAGGCCAGAAATAGAATCTGTCCTTTGCAGGTGTAGCAAATACTCTCCCACAGCTGGGTCCATTTTGAACATGGTTCCTCTGAGTGGAGCCCAGAGCCTAGAGCTGCCTGCTGTAGCTAGTCTGTGCCTTACAAGACCACAGGGGCCCAGCTACATCGGGCAGCTTGTCACAGCATTTTATGGGCAGGGTAAATATTTGTGTTATATTCGCAAGCACAGCTTGGAGCCTAAGCCCACTTTATGGCCAGACCTGGGGAAATTGGAGAGTCATGCTGTGTGAACTACAAGAAATATTTTGCTTGTGACATTGTAGGATGCAGTTTGTACTTGAGGGTGAAGACAGGTTCTGTGCCTGGATTAAAGAGGAGCCTGAAGCTGTGGATTCTTCCAATTCAGATTCCCTGTCAAAATAGGTTTACTCTACATGCCCACAGGGTCACTTCCATGTCTTCAGAGGATTTACTAACTGTGTGTGTGTGTGTGTGTGTGTGTGTGTGTGTGTGTGTGTGTGTGTGTGTGTGTGTGTGTTTGGACTGCTC